TACTACAAGTCACCTCCACCTCCACCAAAATACTACGAGCAACCACCAACTTATTACAATTCTCCACCTCCACCATACTACGAAGAATCTACACCTTCCTATAAATCTCCTCCACCTCCTCCAAAATCCTATGAACAATCACCTTCGACCTACAACTCACCACCTCCTCCAAAGACCTATGAACAATCACCTACATACTACTCGCCTCCACCACCACCGTACTACAAAGAAACACCAACCTATGCCTCACCACCACCACCTGAGAAGTACGAGGAACCTATCACCTATGCTTCACCTCCACCACCATCACCATCTCCCCCACCACCAACCTACTACTAGTAGTCAAATCCATTCTTTTCAATCATCTCCCAGTTTTGGGGGTTTCCATTTCCTTTTATGCTTCCCAAAATGATCGGCTTTGTGTGCTGTATGTTCTTTTGTTTTAATAATTCGTACTATTTATCATTGGAGATTTAAGTAAGATCTCCATCATTTTGGCTTATTGTATCAAGATTTTATTTTGGTGTAATTTATCGAGAATTCTACTTTGCTCAATACTATTTCTCTTTGTGTATCTTGAGTATTTTCTCCTCAATAATGGCTTATAACTTATCTACTACAAAAAAATTAACTAGAAAAAAAATAATGGCTTATAACTTATCTAATACAAATAAATAAACTAGAAAAAAAATATGAGGAAAGGTGCAAAATATGGTCATGGATAGATGCTTCAACAAATTGCTGTATTTTGGATATGGATTATAATTGTACTTATCACTTTTTAAGAAAATAAAATTATATAAAATAAACAGAATTTTAATTTAGTCGTATGCATTATTCTTCTAAAAATATTTATCGATGGAAAATAAGTCAAAAGATATAATATTGTTGTTGATCCAATTAAAAGGTGAAATTACAAAATACAAAACAAAGACTCCACCAGAAATTAGCCCTATATAGCTTAATTTTTTTCACTTTTCTTAAAAACATGGATGGTATTCCCACTTTCTTTTTCATTCTCATAATAAATAAGTTAAACAATAAATATAGATTTTAATAATCTCAAAATATTGGTAGATTCTCAATTTGGCGAGGATAAAATATTTTGCTTTATTTCCATTCCCTGCCAATAGTCTCCCTTAATTAGTTGGCGTTGTTTATGTTTACTGTAAGGACTGTACGTGGCATACGTTGGTCCTGGATTTTGGTTGACTACGGTAATTATGAGGGGAGGTAGAGGTATGCTGAATAAGTATTGGGAGAGGTGATTGGATAAGGCATGACACGTTTGCATCTTACCGAGTACATGACCCTAGATAGTAAGATATGGAGGTTAAGGATTAGGATAGAAAGTTTGTAAATAGTCTAGTGTTGTCTTGTTTCTTATGTTGTTGCTACGGTTCCCTTCTTCATTGTTTCCAATATGGCTTTTTCATTTATGTATTTGCTTTGGATACTTGATTTGTGCTATGTTTTACTTGAGTTGAGGGTCTACAAGAAACAACCTCTTTACCTTTTCTCAAAGTAGGGTTAATGCTACTTAACACTACCCTCCCTTAACCCTGGGATTACACTAGGTATGTTGTTGTAACACTTAATAATTTGATCTTTTAGATAGAATTAAGGGTTGTCAACCAATGAGGATTCTTTAAATCTTATACTTATCCTACTCTGTCATGTAATCCCTCTTCAAACTAAGAAGACTCATGTCAAACACCTGCCTAACATAAGTGTACCAAGTTGTGTTATGTAAGCCGTGAGCTAGGTGCGAAATAGGTTTTGCACTTTGCCGCAGTTTAGTGGCTTCAGTGCACACACCTATATGGATATTAGGCTTGTGTTATGTTCAATACTAAGATCATATGTCAGCTTGCAGATTTTGGCATTGAGAAAACAACGAACATTTCTTTGTTCTGTGCATTATTGAGAAATAATCAGTCCTTAACTACTTGTATTTAATTTTAATTATTATTTGTCACCAAATAATGCCTCCCACTTAGTACTGATAAAAGTCTTTATTTGGACCTTGTTCTCAGCTTAGTGGGCAAGTGGGCAATTAAGAAGCTATTATTACATTAATGTTGAGAAGGGTGTTAGTTTTTTCTCTATAAAAACCACAACTCCTTACTCAACTATGCAACACAAGTCTTAGTTCTGTCCTTTCCTTCTCTAAGTATATAGTGGTTCCTGTTCAAAATGAAAAGCTTAGGGAAGTTGGGACAATGGTCTTTTCTAACAGTTGCTTTGGCATTTTGCTTAATAGCCAGCACTGTAGTTGCTGATTACTCTTATGATTATAATTCACCCTCACCTTCCCACAACTCTAACAAGTACTACAAATCACCATCTCCATCCAACTATCATGTGCCCACTCCTTATTACAAGAAAACCCTTATCCATCACACTACTACTATAAATCACCAGCACCTTCAAAGCACACCTATTACAAATCGCCATCACCAGCAAAATATTACAAGTCACATGTTCCTTCAAAGCATTACTACTACAAGTCACCCATTGTAACAAAGTATTACAAGTCACATGTTCCTTCAAAGCACTACTACAAGTCACCGGTTGCAACAAAGTATTACTACAAGTCCCCAACTCCTTCAAAGCATTATTACAAATCACCCGCTCCTTCTAAGTATGACTACAAGTCCCCATCTCCCGCAAAGTACTACAAGTCCCCATCTCCAGCAAAGAACTACAAGTCACCTACTCCATCAACACACTATTACTACAAATCACCATCCCCAACAAAATATTACAAATCACCCACTCCATCTAAATACTACAAGTCACCTTCACCAACAAAATATTACAAGTC